GTGGCTATGCTATGATTGGGGGTTGGGCAAGGCAATTGACAAATAGCCTTGCTTGCCAGGACGTCACTTGATTTATTAGCCAGGATGTTTTCGGGTGGCCGCCTCTCTGTCTCTGCCTCCGTATCTGCTGCTTTGTAGACACGGGGACCATCCAGTGACCAGTTAGTTCCCCTCCTACTTCTTAGCCAGAAGTGAGAGAAGGGGAGCCATGGAGCACTCCTTGGGGTGGGAGCAGCAGGGAACTCAGTTCAGGATGTTGTAGCATGGGGTGACTCAGGCTCTGTGGCTTTCAAGCCACCTCTGCCAGTCAACTTCTGCTGTAGCCACTCCTCCTTGCTGAACCTCAGCATTCCCACCTGCAAGGTGGCAAGGGCCAAGGATCGCCCAGCTCTGACCTCAGCCCAGAGTCCTCCTGCCCGTGTCTTGAAGAGGACCAGCAAGCAGAAATGGGGGGACGAAGAGGGCTCTTGCTTGAGGTTGCTGTGCACAGCATCTAGAATGGAATGGTTGAACCCCAGGGCTGGGATGCTCTGGCTATGGGAGCTGCTGTGTAGGGGAGGGGACAAGGGCAGTAACAAAATACACAGTGCAGGCCCCTCTCCCCAGAGACTCCAAGGCTGAGTGGTCCATGAGCAGGTAGGGGTAAACAAAATGGGGACCAGGCAGGCCACAGAATACTATTCACTCGTGAAAAGGAATGCAGTTCTGATGCATGCCATAGAATGGATAAACCTTAAAAACATCATCCCAAGTGAAATGCCATTGGTGAGAGACACAGAAGACTGATACAATTCCACGGGTGAAGGTACTTCCAAAAGTTCAAGGAAATATGTTTTCTAAGAAAACTATGCGTGGGTTTAAATTTTTTGCACCAAAATAAACTTATTTTTAAAATGATTTTTTAAAAGATATTTATTTATATGAAAGGCAGAGTTACAGAAACAGAAGGAGAGGAAAGGAGGGAGGGAAGGGGGGAGAGAGAGAGATCAATCTTCTATTCAATGACTGACTCTCCAAATAGCCAGAGTTGGGCCAGTCTGAAGCCAGGAATTAGCTTTTTCTGGTCTCCTATGTGGGTGCAGGAGTCCAAGCGCTTGGGCCATCCTCCACTGCTTAGTTAGGCATATTAGCAGAAAGTAATGGAAAGTGGGGCATCTGGAAGTTTATAACCAGTGCTTCTATGGGATGCTGTCACCACACAATTCTGGCGCCAGCTTACCTCCTAAGGAGAAGAGAACAAAATTGTGAGAACTATGGCTCCCGGGGACCTATGACCACCATTCATACATTATCCAGTCTCTGAGTCAGGCACTCCTGGATAATGGGTACTTGGTGTTCACTGCTTTATGGATGCTCAGGTATGGCTGTTTACACCCAGGCTAACAGCCAGCTTCCCATATCCCCTCGCCTTCCACATGAGGCCGTTCCCTGCACCACAGCAGAACTGAGCATTCTGCATTGTTCCCCAGCTGTGCAATCTTGAACAGATTGTTTAGCCTCTCTAGGTCTCTACTTCTGTGTCTGTAAAATGGATACAATAATGCAGAAAGGCTGCTGTGAGCATTAAATTTAAAAACCCACTTGGGGGAGCTTGTGCTGTGCCACAGTGAGTTAAGCCACCACCTGTCTTACTGGTATCCCATATGGGCACCAGTTCATCCTTGCTGCTCCACTTCAGACCCAGCCCCCTGCTAAACCACTTGGGAAAGCAGTGGAAGACAGCCTGAGGGTTTGGGCCCCTGCACTCATGTGGGAGACCTGGATGAAGCTCCTGTGTGTTAGTTTCAGACTGGCTTAGCCACAGGTGTTATGGCCATTTGGGAAGTAAACTAGCAAATTGAAGATCGATCTCCCTCTCTCTATTGCTCACTCTCTCTTTCTCTATTTCTTCCTTACTTTCACTCACTCAATCTGTGCCTTTCAAATAAATAAAATAAATATAAAAAAAAAACAAGAAAGAAAAAGAAATATCCACTTTGTGCCTTTACTTGTGTTCCTTAGCCTGGCATGTGGAAATGGCTCCCTTCACTGTAGCTTAATTATATATTGAATTTATATTAATTAATTGAATTTAATATAAATTCAATACATTGTAATAAGAATCTGCCCACAGAGAGAGTCAGTGTCAAAGAGAGGGAAAGCCACTGCCCTTTGTGCCCACCCAGGAGCATCCACGAAGCCCCCAGAGGCCAGAAACCCTGAACTCGTAGGAAGTCAGCAGGGCAGAGGAAGAGTTGCAGGTCACACCACTTCTGGCCTCAGGAACAGAGAAAGGCATATCCAAGGCAAATCAGCCAAGGCCAAATACACTTCAGAAGGAGAGTCTGGCAGACAAAGGGCCCCCAAGGGGGTGACCAAGGCCAAGTGGGAGAGAGCTGGTGATATCCCAGTGAAATGCAAAGTCGTGAGGTAGCATTCCTTTACCTCCAACGCAGGAGGCCATCCACCCTCCGCAGCCATGCTTGTCTTCTGTCATTGCCAAGAAATGGGGCCAGAAGTTCATTCCTGGGAATCTGGAATGACTTTTACCTGGAGTCACTCTGGGGAGTGTTTTTCTCTGGGATCTGCACACTTCCCACTCCCCTCACTGAATTGTTCTCCATGGAGTGTGAGCTCTTCTTTTCCCTTTGGCCGGGAGGATCTATCTGCCTCGGTATTGATGGCCACAGGTGGCTTTGCATGAGTCTAGAGGTGTTTTCTCTGTATGTGCTTTGCTTTCTCCTGTAGTGCACTGGCTGCATATTTTAGGAGCCCGATAAAACACATGGAAACACACACACACACACACACACACACACACACACACATGCATGCTGTGTTTCAAGAAACCAAGGTGCCAGGCATGAAGCAGCTGTGCTGACATGTGCATCTGTAATGCCTGTGCTACTTGAACAGAATCATTTCTGCAGCATTCCATGAAGGCTGTGCCAGCACCTCTGCCCCTATCAGACCATGCCCTTCAGGGGGCTGGGAGGGTGTTCAGGATGCCTTGCAGTACTAGCAGGTACTTTGCTGGGTGGAACAATACAAGAATGAAGACACCCAAGTCTTATGTGTGTACTTGAATGGCAATCTTCTGGCTTTCTTATCACTTTGCCTCCTGCTGGGTTGCTAAAAAGGATGGAGTTGCTTGAATAGCCTGCAGACACACCAAGGACACTTTGGCTCTGTCTGGATGGCAGCAGGTTCACACCAAGCCCATCTCAGGACGGGAACAGTGACTCCTACAATTCAAGGGACTCCCTCGCTCTGGGTGCTGAGATGGTTCAGTGATGAATGAAAAGGAAGCTGCTGCCCTGGCCCGGGTGCCCCCTCCAAATGTCTCTCCTTGAGACCACCTTGCAGAAAGCGCCTGGAGCCAGAAACCCTGGGCCTGCCCTCGTGCTCTCTAGGAGCAGCCACTTCCCTTCGCTGATGCTTGATATCCTCATCTGTAAAGTGAGGGGACGTAAAACCTCAGTCATGCATGGACAACCTTTAGGATGGTGCCTGGTGCATCTAGAATGTGGTTAGTCATTATTGCCATGAGTCACGTCATCCGTATACATCAAACTCTACAGGAATTCAGCTACATGTGCACTCTAGCAACAAAAAGCGGCAGGGACCTGGGGATTCCAGCAGCTCCCTGATTGAATGTCTCCAGGACAGGATGAAGCAAGAGACACTGGGCTGTCCTCGTCCAGTGGGCTGCTCACAGCGGGAGTAGAGTTTTGTCATGATAAATGGGCTTCCTTTTTGCCCAGGAGGAAAATGCAGGCTGAGGCTCACTCACAACTTGGCACCTGGGGATATTTAGGTTACAGTGTATCCTGTGTGCAGGAGGGGATGGTGAGAGTGTAGGGAGAGAATGAAGCAGCAGGCTGAGTGACTGTCCAGGGGCAGCTCAGGAGCTTGTGTCTGCCAGGCTGGTGTAGCCCAAACTTCTTCGATACATTTAATTACCTAGAAAGGTCTTGAAGGCTGCCTGCTCAGACAGGAATAGGATTTCATTGAAGGGGAAGCTATCAGCAGGAAGCTTCCCTGGAAGGAGAAGCCAGGGACAGAGACGAAGAGGGCTGCAGGAACTTGGGGTGGGTGGATGCTTGCAGTTAGAAGAAATATTCTTGAGGAGTAAGGTGCAAGAAGGCTGGTCTGGAGAGGCATGAAGATGCGAGATGGCGGGAGGGTTGGTGTTGTGGAAAGCAGGTAAGCTGCCTACACCCGCACATCCCCCATGAGTGCTGATTGGGGCCACAGCTGCTCTTCTGCAGGTTCAGTTCCCTGCTAATGTGCCCGGGAAAGCAATGCAAGATGGTTAGCCCAAGGAGCTGGGTCCCCGACATCCTCATAGGAGACCCAGATGGAGCTCCTGCTTTTGGCCTGGCCCGGCCCAGCCCCAGCTGTCGCAGACATCTGGGAAGTGAACCAGCAGATGAAAGACCTCTTGTCTTTGTCTTTCTCTCCTCCTCTCTGTAACTCTGCCTTTCAAATAAATATTTCTTTTTAAAAAGGGCGGAGTGGGGGATAGGCTGGTGCAATGAGTCATATGGCTGGTCCTCCACCTCCAAGTGCAGCATACCATATGGGCACTGGTTTGTGTCCCTGGCTGCTCCATTTCCCATCCAGCTCCTGTTTGTGGCCTGAGAAAGCAGTAGAGGATGGTCCAAGTCCTTGGGACCCTGGATCCATGTGGGAGACCTGGAAGAAGCTCCTGGAAAAGAAGGGTGACAGACAGGAGGAAAGCCAGGGAGAGGGGTGCACACAGCCTGGCCTGATGACTTTCACAGCATGGAAGAGGGGACTTCCTGGCAGCATGGACCTGCAAAGGATTGGGAAGCTGTGCTGACAAGATGGTCCTCTGCCCTGCTTAGCTGGGGGTTGGAGGGAGAACTGTGGAACCCAGACACGCCTTGCTGCTTCCTACCCAGTAAAGAGTGAAATGATGACAGCCAGGTCTGGGGACCCCCTCATCCTCCATCCGCCGTCCGGGAGCTGCAAGCCTGACTTCCCCTCTCTTGCAGGCTGCGACAGCGACCACTGGGGCCCCCACTGCAGCAACCGGTGCCAGTGCCAGAACGGCGCCCTGTGTAACCCCATCACCGGCGCGTGCGTGTGCGCCGCGGGCTTCAGGGGCTGGCGCTGCGAGGAACTCTGCGCGCCCGGCACCCACGGCAAGGGCTGCCAGCTGCCGTGCCAGTGCCACCACGGTGCCAGCTGCGACCCCCGCACGGGCGAGTGCCTCTGCGCACCTGGCTACACCGGTGTCTAGTGAGTGTCTGGGGGACGGGGGTCGAGGGAGGAGCTTGGAGAGGGCTGGGCATGGGTGGGATCCTCTGGTTGGGGCGGGGTGGGGAAGGGTGGAGGGTGGAGGGTGGAGAAGGTTGGAGGGTGGGGAGTGGGAGCTGGGGCAGTGGTCAGGGGTGCCTTGGAGAGTGGGGGCTGGGGAGAGATATGGGGTGGACAGAACGACAGGACTCCTCCTGCAGTTGCCCATGCAGTGGGAGTCACCTGGCCTGGGGTCCCTGTAAGTGGTCAGGGCATGAATAGGCCTGGCTGTGAATCTTTCTAAACTCTGACCTCCAGACAAGCAACTCCACAGCGGGCCCTCCTAGGCCTCTGTCATCTCCTCGATGGCCCCAATCTTGGCAGGGTGCTGGAAGCCTTCCCAGCCTGGGACCATTTGGACCAAGCTGGCCTGCTGCTTCTCTCTCCTGGCATGGAGCTGGGCTGTGTCAGGGCTCCTCGATCTGAGTGCTGCTGTGGGTAACCATACCAACCTGTGCTTCTCCACCCAGCTGCGAGGAGCTGTGCCCCCCGGGGAGTCATGGGGCGCACTGTGAGCTGCGCTGCCCTTGCCAGAATGGAGGTGCTTGTCACCACATCACAGGAGAATGTGCCTGTCCCCCAGGCTGGACGGTAGGTGGCCTCACGGAGTGGTGTGGGAGCACCTCTCTCTCTCTCTCTCTCTCTCTCTCTCTCTCACACACACACACACACACACGCACACACGCCTTGAAAAGCTCCATTCCTCTCCTACCCTGAGCTCCTTCTTTGTATGGCCCCAGGGAGCTGCCGGTAAAGCTGAGTGCATCTCTGAATCCAGGTCTGCCCTCTAAGTGCTGTGTGTCTAGAGGCAAGTGAATTGGCTTCTCTGACTGGTCCTTCATGTGCACAGGTGTCTTTGGGCATAGGCACCTGTGTGAGCCACATTGCTCAGGGCCAGGTATGGCAGAAAGGGCTGGGGAAGTAGTAGAGCTAGCAGGATGTACTGATAAAGTTTCACCCCTTGCACCCACACGTGCTGATCCCTCCCCCGCCCCCAGGAGAGCCTAAGAGAGCTTCCACTAACCCAGGCCTGGGGTCTGGAAACCCCATCTGGGGTGGGGAGACACAGGACAGGGGAAGGGGAACCAGGACCTCACAGGCCCTAGGTTGGTTTCACCTCTGGTGCTGATTCTGAAAAAGGCCTCAGAGACTATGATGGCTGCTCATGCACCTGCAGGGTTCACCTAGGTCGGTGAGCCCACCCTACAGAGCTGTTGAAGTACTGGTCAAATGCTGAAGCGCTCACCTGTTTGAGTCACATCCCTGGGTGTACAACCCCCCACCCCAACCCCAAGCTTCTTCTGGCCTGCTCTGGCCACCTGCCAGGCAGACTTTGCTGGCTACACACCTGCCTCTAACCCTTGTGGAAGAAGTTCAAAGCCACAATCGCTGCCCTGCCCTGGGGCTTGAGAAACTGTCACAGAGCCATAGAGGACAATTGCAGGATACTGTGGGGCAGGTTGGTGGGGACAAGCCGGAGGAGTTCCTGGATGGAGGGCCCCCGGCAAAGGCACAGTCTCGTACTCACTGGGAGTTTGTAGATCAGACCAGGCACTTATAGATCATGAAGTCCAGCAACATTTGGCTGCCAGCCCATCCTCTCCTGGCCCGTCCTCCTCCTCCCTGGCCCGCCCTCTCCTCTCCAGAGTCCATGAAAGAAGCTGAGGATTCCCAGGCTCCGCCCCAGGCCCCCTGAGGTCTGGGCTGGCTCCTTTTAATAAGCTCCCCAGACAGTTCTGCCGCAACCAGTACTGTCTACAGTCCTACATTTGCAAATAAGATTGAGAGTCTAGGATTCCCTCCCGTGCTGCCCAGAATACTAAGGGCTTGTGTGGGGTATGAGCTTGGGGGTGCAGTGGAGCCTGCTCCCACTATTCCCTGTCTGGAGGGTCTAGGTGAGATTTCACATAACACTCTCCCAGGCCTCACTGCTGGTTAGGAGGAAGGCAGGGGCTGGAATCCTGGTCCTTGATGTGTGTTTGTCTGGGTGGCCAGGCATCTGTGTTTGCCAGTGTCTGACCCTTCTGAGAAGGACTAAGGGGCTGCTGCCGCTCCTGCCTGCTTCTCCCACCCCACCCCCCCGACTCCTCCCCAAATGGGTTCTGAAATACTTCCCTGCGGCCAGGTCCTGGCAGTGAGTTGGGAGCAGAAGGCCGTGGGAGAGGAAGGCTACAGGCAGCCCCTGTCCCTGGCCAGGTCCCTCCGGAACCACTGCTGGAACTGCAGGCTGGAGGAAGGGAGGGAGAGGGATTTTTTTTTCTTCCCAATACAGAGAAGGACCTGTTCTTACAGATGACAGGGAATTCTGTCAATAGCAACTTTGGGTTTGAGCACTTTATGTTTTTAATGTTATCGCAGACAATTGCACTTCTATTTTTGACATAGCATTTAACTTGCAGATTTGGATGAATTATTAATGCCCCTCGTGCATGCAGCGCTGCAGAATAATGAAGCTGCAGCTTCGGCCTCAGGCTCCTCCTGGGTGGGGGGCGGGGGAGCTGGGGCCAAGGACAGGGTGCAGAGGGAAGGGTCTCACCCTTTAAACATCTTCCATTGCCTGAGGTTAGCCCCACATTAGCCACATGTTGCTCCTCTCAAAGACCTAAATCTGATGGCTAACTCCTACCATGCAACTCCAACAGACTGCAGTGATGTACAAACCTGCAAGGGGCTGCCAGGAATTCAGGCCTTCTAGGTCCTTCCTTACACATTCCTGCCACCCCTCTCCCCCAGGCCCTAGAAATATACATGGACCCTCCACTGGCCAGCTATGGGGAGCCCAGGCAGGAGAAGCCTTTGCAAAGAGCCCAGGAGGGGGAATCATTTCCCCTCTGTTGTTGAGCTCTGACACTTTCCACAGCACCTGAAGTCCAGGGAGGATAGTGAGTTGCCAGTGGGCCCTGGAGACAGATGGCAAGGTAGGAAGTATGGGTAGGACTCACCTCAGAATTCCTAGTCTGGTGGTGTGCGTGTGCATACCTGGTACACACAGGTACATACATGGACACGGGCACACCAAGGCACATGCAGATGTACACACAGACACACGTAGATGCACACAGGTGCATAGATAAGTACACACAGGCACATGCAGGCTCACACAGGCTCACACATAAAAGCAGTGCCAAGCCAGAACAGAAGCTGAGGAGCTGCAGCAGGATCAGCTGTCAAGGCCAGAGTGGTTTCCAGAGCTGAGGCTGTGGCCCGAGGGGCACTCAGGTTAGGGAAGGACAATCCTTGGAGGCCCAGGGCTGCCTGGGATCCAGCTGTTTCTATAGCACACATATGAGGGCATCTGTGCTTCCCAGGGCAGCAAGCAGCTGGGAAGAATGGAGAGATTCTGTCTTCCAGGCACACTGGCCTGGCCTTATGTCCTCTTCTGGGTTTGGACAAGCCATATGGTCACCATATCCCACCTTGTCCCTGCCCACCTCCGTGAAGACACACACTGATACCTGCTGTCCTCAGGTCTGCAAACCTCAAGTCCAAGGCTCTGTGTCCTCCTGGGGTCCTTGCTCTGGGGGGTCCATCGTAATCCCTTATTCTTGTAAGGTCACCTTGGGCTGGGTACCTCTGTGGGACCCACTTCTAACTGCTTGACCTGTGTAAGGGCCCTACCCCACAATATACCCACAGTTGGGGTGCTCAGGAGTCAGGAGTACCTTTGAGGAATTGACACAGTCCAGTCTGTGGAAGCAAGAGGGACACTGTGGCCTTCTTGGAAGCTGAGTCGGCTGTGCCTGCTCACCCACCAGCAGCAGCCAATTCAGCATTGGTTCTCTCTTCATCACAGGGCTTCTATCCACCCCTTTGGTGCCCACTGCTTACCTCTCTACTTCCCCTAACCTCCTTATAACCTTCTGAGAGACCGGGGCTTTGGAGGATGCAGCGGGGCAGTATTACCATCCCATTTTGCAAATGGGGAAACTGAGGCTCGGAACAGTCCCACAGCTTGTCCCAGCAGGCCTATCTGCCAGAACACAGAGCTGGGACCTGAGTCACGCCCTGCCTTGGACTCCCACGTTCTTCTTCCTCCCCAGGAAGGCCACAGGAAGCCCGAGGAGTCCAATGTCTCCAGCCCCCAGGAACTCATGGTCAAGGAGGAACCTAGGGATTCAGACTGAGTCTGCAGCTTGTCTGCAGCGTGTGTGTGTGTGTGTGTGTGTCTGAGAGAGAGAGAGAGAGAGAGATAGAGAGCGCGTGAGAGAGCCTGACACTGCCTAAGTGGAAGGAATAAGCAAGTTGACCCACATGCTTTCCCAGGCTGTGTCCTTCCTCAGCCCAAGATGGCAGGGAACTGACCAAGACAGAAGCTGGAAGACCACCCAGAGCTTGCTGGGTGCAGGAGAAAGGCCGCCTCCCTCCCTCTCCCTACCCACCCAACCCCTCCTCTGACAGGTGTACTCTACTCACCCCTGCTGCCTCTGCCTCTCGGCCTCCTTTTCCACCCTGCTCCCCACCCTCCCAGTGTCTACAGAAATCCCAGCTACAAGGCCTCCCACTTCATTCATCTCAAGGAAATTGGGTGATCTTGAAAGATGACTTGGGCCAGGCACAATGTTTCCGAGTAAACCTGCTTGGTCATGGATTGGCAGTTATTGGTGCTTAATAGCTTTGTGCTGCACTAATTGATTCATTAATTGGAAATCATCCTTGGTCTCTGTCAGAGAAATGACTGTGAGTGTGAGTGGCTGGAGGGCAGGGAGACTTGTGACCCAAGGTCCAGATGTATGATTGTGAAGTTGAAGAATAGCTCAGGGGTAGGAGGGGCAGGCAGTGTTCCACCTTCCTAAGGAAATGTTCACAAATCCCTCACAGCACTCTCAAAACTTTTTTGAAAGCCCTGTTTATTTATTTTTATTGGAAAGGAAGATTTACAGAAAGGAGAGAGAGAGAGAGAGAGAGAGAGATCTTCTATCTGCTGGTTCACTCCCCAAATGGTTGTAACAGTTGGAGCTGAACTGATCCAAAGCCAGGAGCCCAGAGCTTCTTTTGGGTCTCTCATGTGGGTGCAGGGTATCAAGACTTTAGGCCATCCTCTACTGCTTTCCCATGCCACAAGCAGGGAGCTGGATGGGAAATGGAGCAGCTAGGACATGAACTGTTGTCCATATGGGAATCTGGTGCTTGGAGGTGGAATATTAGTCAGCCGAGCCAATGTGCTGATCCCCACTCTCAAATCTTTTAGCTGTTTCTTCTATCATTCTGTTTTTATTCACTTATTTGAATGATAGACAAGATGGCGAGATCTTCTATTCACTGGTACACTCCCAAAATGTCCACATTAGCCGGGTCTTAGTCAGCTTAAAGCCAACAACCACGTCACCAATGTGGGTGACAGGGACCCAAGAACTTGAGCCCTCACCTGCTGCCTCCCCAGATCACAAGCAACAAGCTAGAAGAGGAGCCAGGACTTGAACCCAGGAACTCCCATTGGGATGCTGGCATCCCAAGCGACGTCTTAAGCCCTGAAGTAAACACCCACCTCTCTTCTGGTATATCTCTCCATAGATAACTAATAAAAAAATTATTTATTTATTTGAAAGGCACAGTGGCAGACAAAGGAAGAGACTGAGGGAGACAGAGAGACA